TTCTCTGCTTGACATTTCTTATGTTCCTAAGTCAGTATGCCCCAGATTAATGAGGCATTTGTTCTCAATCAAGAAGCTATTTAAGAATACACTTTTTAATTATAATGGGTTGTATATGATTAATTATTTCTACATGGCTTACTCATATTTTTGGATAGTTCAATGTAGATTTTTTTTTTTCCCCACTGGGCTCTGCCCAAATCTTTTCAGAATTCATATTAGTTATCACCCAATAATTTATTGGAGTGAATTGTCTTCATGAGGTGCTGTGAACCTTGAGAAATTTGCCTGGAGTTCTTTGCTATAATGACCTTCAGTGTTCTTTGTCAAAGGAAGGAGAGGCCTAACACACAAACCTGCAAAAGAAGTGTGTTTAAGGTAATTTGTGGGGGGTTTTAAAAGACCCCATTGTTTTAGGACTACTCATCCCACAGTTGGTTCTGATGAGAGTATGTAGCCATTTTTATATTGTTCTGTCCTCATCCTTCCCTTATTCTGTGCTCATTCTTCTAAGTCAGATGTGTCTTTAGAAGAAACTGTTTCAATGGCCGGTACATTCCAAGCTGGACCAGGTTGTTCCCTCCATGTGTGCTCCCTGCATGGGGGATGAAGTCCTGCCATGTGTTTCCATTTGCAAAACTTGCTCCAGACTTTTTTCACTGAAGAATTTCCGTTTGCTGCTGCTCTTGAAAGGACAAAAGGCTTAGTGCTTTAGGGGCCTGGGTCTTGAGGGATTATTTGAAAACTGTGAATTTTATGACCTTTCATTTCTCTTGGTGTCATAGGACATAATTTTGGCATGTAACTGGGAGACTAATAATGGTCAGCACACCAGATTCTGAGCTCAGGAGATTCTGTACTCACAAGGGAAGAAGGGATTTTCTCTCCTCTGAATTAGTAAATCATCAAATTAAAATTAATCCTACCATTCACATAAGATTTGTTGTTTGTGGCTACAGAGATTACAAATTAATCACCTGCAGAAGGATTTGGGTGCAGAAGGGGAGGCTCTTTCCCTTTTCACATCACCCTTGTCTGCAGCTATCAGAGAGATAATCTGATTATCTCCCTACAAGACACATTATCCTTTTATTAAGTGGGTCCATCCCAGTAAAATAACAGACATGAAAATGCTACAATAAAAGAACAGTAAGAGCCCAAAGTGCTTGTTAGAGCTGTCTGTAGATTGCTCTTCACTGTGACTGAGTTTTTTCACAAGTTTCGTGTGAAATGTACTGTGGGCAGCTGGCATCCACCTATTTTTCTTGGCTCTTTCCATTTTAATGTAGCAGGAGCTGCATTACAAGGCAAGATCCATTTGTTCAAAAGGACCCATTAGGTCTAAACTTAGGGGCTATAGCATCAGATTATGTGTTATCTGTGGGTGGCTTTCTTGTAGCATATGGTGATTGAATCGATGTTGTCTCCTTCTCTCCTCATACTGAATATGTCAGGAGGAGCAGCAAATCCAGAAGAGCTTTCTCTGTAGGAAAGACATTCAAATTACTTTGATTTTTCCTGGTATCTATCATGGCAGAATGTTCCTGCAGGGCAAGGGACAGAGCTTTGTCAGTTGGGCTTACAATAAAAGGGCACAAGTGGTGCAGAATGACTTAGCAGGGAAAGAAAAGGAGGAAAAGCAAATGAAACAAAGCACAATAGAGTCATGACAAAATGTAGAGATGGTGAAAACATCCAGTACCTGCCCCTTGTCCCACCCCCCAGTACAGTGTGTCGTTCAGGACTCTTCTCACCAGTGCCAGTGACTCATTTTGGAGAAATTTCAAGAGCTAGCACCTTTCCCTGCTCCTCAGTGGGGAGGTCAGCACCCTAGATGCATTGGCATTGCAAAGGTAACAGACCTGAATGTGGGATTGCATACGAGCTACCAAAGATAGCAGCTGATTTGTTTTAATTTAAACTTCTGCATAGTACATTAATACACAGAGCAGGAGAATGAGACAGCAGAAGGGTGGAAACACTTGGCTGTATTGGCAGCCAGGAGGGCAGGTGGGAAGTGTAACCCTCTAATCTTCCCAGTGCAACTTGATGGTGCTCTCGGGTCAGAGCTCTTGTTCTCGAAAGCATTCCTCCTACCCTGGTTGTCAGAGAGTGAATTTTGTATTCAGGAGGGGTTTTGTGTAGATGCATGCCTGGGAAGGGCGTGATATGATGGCAGGAATGAGTAAAGAAATACTCTGAAGTACTGGTTTTGGACTCTGTGGCTACGAATGCACTATCAAAAAAACCCCAAACAACCCAATTTCAAAAGAGTACAGTGTGTGTTAGCGGTTTTGCATGGGAAATTTCTTTTGCTGCAAAGAAAAACTGTTTTATCCTGAAGGTTAAGACACAGCAAAAGCCTGTTTAAGTTAGTCCACAGAAGCATGGATCTGTTACAGTTAAAACAAAAGGGCATATGTGGAGACTGATAGAGGAGCAAAAGTGAATTAGAATAGTTCATATCTCACTGAGTCTGAAAGTGTACGCTCCATTTAAAATGATAATTTATGGAGGTCTGATTGCCAGGTATTCAATTTGGTCCTGGAATCACTTGAACTCAGATTATATTTGTGAAACAGTCATGCTTTGCACAAATACTGTCAGTGTCAGCTGTATTGAACAGCCTGTGGGGTTTTTTTTTGTATTAAACATAATTATAATTAGTTGAGCAAAATGGCAATTATGTCCAAAAGGGACCTCTTCCAATAAAAAATTATGCAATGTTACCTATTGCAAAGTCTCATAAGTGGCTCCATAATCAGATTAAGTCATCCCTTCCTCTATCTCGATGGCCTGTAACCTACAGACTCTGTTGTTAATTTGCGAGTTTGTGGTCTGAATGGAGCTTGCTGAGAGGGTCATGCAGAGTTAATGCCAGGCACCCTCTTCAGAGAGCCTGCTGAAAACACAGCAGGGCTGGCCCAACTAGACCCTTGCCTAAGGTCAGCATCTTTAGCTGAACTTTGGAACCATTGGACCTAGTAAAGTAGCTCTGCCAGAATAGCAAATATTTCCTGCTGAACTGAGCTTGAAAGAGCTCAAGAGTTGGTCACGAAAGGGAGAGAGAAAATGTTCATCAAAATAATCAAGAAAAGCTTATCTTTGCTCTTGTCTTCATCTGGCAGTGTAAACAAGGGACCAAAATGATAGAGATGCTTGTATTAATGCCTGATGAATGATAGGTTAAATGGAATATCAGGTCATGTAAAGTCTGTAGGAAAATTAAAAACTGAAAGAGTAATTTAGAAACCTGCAGGTTCATTGCAAAGTGCATTTTATGGACACATTTTATGGTGAATATTGTTCTTTAAGAAAGGTCTGGAAATGCAAAGTGTGGCTTACATCCCAGTTAAAGAAATTTTAGAGTGGACCTAAATTGAAAACCTAATTTTTCAAAACTGAGTAGTCCTCCCAAGCATGGGTCAGGTGGAGTAGAAGGATCTTGAGTTCTGTGCTGAGAGTGAGATGGGCAGATCTAAAGCATTCCAAAGTAAGAGCTTGTATTGATTTTGCTGAGGTTTGTATCAAAGAACAGAGTCACGGGTATTGGTCAGGGCAACACCTTCAGGTACACAGTGAGGGCTTTTTGCTTTTTGGGAACAGCAAGCCTGAAAAGCTGAGCTTCAACTTCTTCATAAATGAAACAGGGTTGGAAACGAGCTGTTCTGGGAATATTTGAACCTTAATAAGATGATCTTTAATAAAAAGGCCACTCACACCATTGCAATCCACAACTCACATTGTAAGAGATTCCCTAAGGAAGGCCTAAATTAGAATTTGTTGTTTTTCAAGATTTTCAAATTCATGCATAGCAATTTATTATCTTCCAAGCCAAGGGCACTTCCTATTTCAGTTGCATAAATACTTATCCTGGCCATTAGACACAGGACAAATACTAAAAACAAAAGTAACCTTTTTGTTGGCTTTTCCTCTTTTTTGGAAATCTTAGACACACACTGATTAATATCAGATGCTTTGCACCTATTGAATACCCCACAGGGAACTCCCATTGCTCAAATCTCAACTGTGTTACATAAAACCAGATATATTCTAGATTAGCTGTTTTTTTAGATTTTCTAGCAGCATAGTTTCCAAAGGATCAGCAGGGGGACCTTTGTCTTTAGAGACTGAAGATAGTGAGAACACCTATACTTGACACATTCACCATTGTCAGAGCTGTAAACCTGAGCTTGTGTGAAATAAACTGTGCAAAATGTCCTGGTGGAGAAACATCTGCTGCAAATGTTTCAGCAGGGAAAAGATACTGCCTGGCTGAAAAATGTAGAGCAAATTCACAAATGCAGCATGTTGCTGTTTAACAGATATACGTGGCCTTAGGGACCCATGTGGCTCCATTACTTGTCCAAAGTTCAAAATAAAGAGAAAAATAAGTTTTGACAGTCACTTCTGAGGGAAGTGATAACAGATCAAAGGACTTGCTTTTATTGCGATATTTTCATCATTATGGAAAAGAATCACTTTGGACTTTAGCTGCTGTTTGAAATCTTTACCTTTTAATAAGTGAACTCTGTAAATGTAGCTCAGAGAACAAAGGTTCCTCTTTTACAGTTAAACTTTTAACCCTTGAGGTTGAATTGGTGGAGACCAGAGGGAAAATCCACTGTGTTTTCACTGAACTTTTTACCCTTTGAAAAAAGCTGAACAAGTTTAAAGTTCATACACTGAGCAAGAGGTCTCTACTGGGGATTTCTGGTATTATTAACTTCCTGACCTCAGATAATTAAAAGGGAAGAGTGGAGGCAGTGCAGACTTTGACTCAACTTTGAACTTTTAACCTCTTGAGGAACGTTTTTAGTGTTCAAGTGGTACACACAGTAAACTCTCTTATTAACTTTCCTTAACCCATGGACACGAAAACTGTCAGCAGGCCAAAATTATCCTTTGTCCTTTATGTCATATTTCTATTTGTGTACCAGTTAAAACTCTAGGGGGATGTTGTTTGGATACAGAAAGTGACAGAGACAACTCTTTTCCAGGAACTGGCAAGAACAGGAGACGAGCAACGGGAGAAGAAGCCATGAATCTGTTGGGTTTGTAATTCAGGCTGTGCTGGGTTTTACCTTTAGGACATACACCAGTGCTTTAGTGTTGCCCCTCAGCAAAATTTTCCTTACACTCTGTAAGGTGTTTCATCTCTTTCTCCAACTGGGCTTTTCTTCCTCAAGCATTGAAAATAGTGATATTCAGCAGCCCAGGAGATTATGGATTTATTGAGTAGGAAATAATCAAACAAGTAGCATTGTGAATTCTGTGTTTGAGAACATAAATTTTACTTCCTTATGGCTACAGTAGCAATAAAAGAAAAAAAAAAATCCTTGCTTCTTGTCTTAGCAAGATGGAGATTATCTGTGATCTGTTTTTTGTCAGGGAATACAATTTACTATGAACTAGTCTGGGGAGCAATGTGGGAAATTGTAAAATTTTCACTTAAACTTCCTAACATTAGTGTTATTGGGGTGTGAAATAGAGTTATTGTGAATCCATGTAGTCAGAGGTAAAAGAAGTTTGCTGAAAAACAAATACAAAGCATATTGGATGAAAATATTTCCTGAAAGAGAAAGCTGTAAGCTTCTGGGACAAAATGTCAATATCCTCTCAGTTTTTTAACCATAAGAAAGGAAGAACACTAGTGAGTTTATGTCTTATGGTTCCCTAAACGTTTATTGCATATTATGGTGTGTCCAATCATAACCATTTTTTGTCATCTCCACTAGGAACTCAACAGTGTTCAGTGTAATTGTAGCATTCATTTCAGTTTTCTTTAGCTGCAAAAACACAATCAGAAAAATAATGCAAAATGTCTTTTGGAAGCAGATGTGCCAGAGCATGAAATTGCTTTATTAAGATTATTAGATTAGCAGAAAAATCTTGAGGCTGGCTAGATGTTGTGGCACGTATGGATGCATGTGCCTTCAAAGTGTTGAATTTGGAAGATTTTTTTAAACCTCTTGATTAAAGTCAGCCAAACACTGAAAAAAAATCTTACACAAATCGAATTGTTGTTTAGGGGATCATCCCATATGTCCCACAGAAAAAGATCTCATGAAAATTTTGGCAAAAAATGTGCCTCTACTTGAAAAGGCACTAATTACCTTGTTATTTTATTGTTTTGCATTGCTTTTCTACTTTAAATAGAAAATTTAAAATATTTAAAAATATTTTTAAAATATTAAAAAAATAATTCAAATATAAAAACAAAAAATTCAAAATATTTAATTTCAATATTTAGTTAAAAAATATTGTCTACATAATCAGGTAGTGTGACACAGTTCAAATAGGTCTGTGAAGTGAAACTGTGAGTGGGCTAGAACCCGATGTTTGTGCTGTATTAGTCAAAAGCCATAGTGAAGGGAAGAATGCTTAAGTTACTTCATAGAAGAAAATGAGTAACATTTCTTTTTCTCAAATGCAGATTTAAACATGAATTTTCTCATGTCCTGGATGGGGACATAGCCACCTCCTCAGGGCACAGGGAAAGGGAGATAGGGATCTGTTTGTAAGAGCCAGCTTTCTTCTGTTCCACTTGCAGAGTAGAGTGAATCCCGTCCTTGTGCCGTGGCCCCAGAGGAGAACATGAAAACCACAGCAGAGTCTCACCCTTGGCTGAGCTGGTCCATCCCCTGCTGCACCAGCAGCATTGAGCAATCCACAGGCTGTGCAGGATTTCCCTGCTCCTTTTGCAACTTTTAGTTCTGAAGGTTTTACAGATTTCCAGCAGCAAGGTGGGAGGCTTCAAAGTCTGGTCACCAGGCCAAAGTGGTCGTTTTTTCATGTGGATTGCAAAAATCACTCTTAGAACAAAGACTCAAGTTCTCCAGACAAGCTTAAATCCATGCTAAAATATATGAGGTTAATAAGAGCATGTATCCCAGCAGGTTACCCAGATTTTATTTGTTTTCCAGCACAGACACAACAGTGTGTTTTTCCCTGATCCAGATCACTGAATTGCTTTAGTGCAGAGCTTTTCCAAAAAGCATTCAGCTTGCGGTATGTGGTTGGCACAGCAAATTTCAGCTGGAGCTAGACAGGAGAAGTTTGGCAAAGTTACAGGCAATTGATAGCAGGGTGTTCATCAAAGCAAGCGTTGGGAAACCTTTCTAGCAGCCCCTCCTGCAATCTCACAATTCCAACATGGAGACAGAACATGTAAAATCAGTGTGAGTGCGTTTGCATGGGAGCGTGGGGATGGATGGAAAGCGTCCACGTGCACACGGGTTTGTGTGTACTGCACATAGAGACCTCTTCAGGAGGTAATTAAATGATACAGGAAGATATCACTGGGACAAAATTACACTGGTTTTCTTTTTTTTTTTTCCTGAATGGTGAATACAGGTAATATGGAAAGAGATAAAATATAAACCAAATCATTATTATCATCTTTAAGTGAAGAGCAGAAGTTAAATGGTTTCAGTATGAAACCATGTCAGGATAAAGTTTTCAAAGGTGAAGTGTTGTTGTCAGTCCTGCACTCAACCCATATGTTTATCCTTAACCTTTATCCTTCACCTTTATCCCATGCTGAATGTAGCTTTTCTTTTCACTGCTTTTCTGCATGGCTGTGTGACAGACAGTTTATAAAAATTGGAAAGCAAAATTCTCACCTGGCCCTGCACATTGAAACAAGAATGAAAGAGGAATCCTGGTAAATGTCACATCCCACACACTGCCCTTAAGTCCTTCAAAGCCAAAAGTCCAAGGCTCAAATGTATTGCATGGCAGGAAGGAAGAGGAATTAAAAACCTGCTTCAGTTTGCAAAGGGATTCTTACAGCCTAATTCTGGTCAAGGTGAGGGACAGAAAGGAGATATAAATGAATTATAAACCGTGGTTAGGCATTCAGGGGAGATAACACCCTACTTACTAGAGCCAAATGGGAAGGCCACCCCTAGCTTTAGGCAAGTTAGTCAGGGTGAGAGTAATGGCAGTGACAACTGGCAGTGGCCACTCCTGTCCTTTCCTGGCACAGTTCTGCCCTGCCTGCAGCTGCCCTTGGCTGCTTCAAGCACCGCTCAGAGGGGCTGACTGATGAGTTGAGGGCCAAACACCAAGTCTGTAGTAGAACTTGATCCTATTAAAACTTTCTCCTGCAATTTCCTCTTTCTCCTTTCACTGATGCCTGTGGTACCCATTTCACCCCTCACACCAAATGATCGTGCAGCCTTGGGAAGACCCTGATTTACAGTGCCCAGCAGGAGGAGTGATTTCAAGGAGTGCAAGGAGAAAGCTTTGGCAATAAAAAGGAGCCATACAGGAAATTGAGGAAGTGATTCCTTGGCTCAGACCCAGAAATCAAGCTCTTCTGAAGGGTCTCATCTTCTCATTGTGTTTCTCAAAGGCAAGCTTGGAAAATCTCAGCTTGGCTCATTTTCATTCCTCAGCAGCTGCTCTCTTAGATTATGTGTAAGTCCAATAACATGCAAAGATTTGTCTGTAGTGACTACCACTTATGCCAGGTTAGCTGATGGATGTGTGTGTCTGTTTTTATTAGTTTATGACTCTGCAGAGAAGACATCTGAATGTCCACAGGGATGAAGAAGACATGATCCCTGATGAAAACTGCTTGCAATCAAATTTGGGAATTGATCATGAAGGATGACAGGATACAATGGTGAATAGATATAGGCTGAGCATGAGTTTTATTAGAAAAACAGACTGCATGCTTATTAAAGCCTTCTTTAATAAGAAGAAGTGGGTTGGAAAAAGGTTTTGTTTGGTTGGGGTTTGTTTCCAGGTATGTAGGTCTCTGGGTTTGATCCATTGCTACAGGTGTTAAAAATGATGTGCCTAAAGTTTGTGAAGTAGCCAAGGACATGCTGGTGTACAAATCAAAGGAAACTTTAAATTTAAGATTGAAGGTCCTCCTACAAAGCTGAACTTCCCATAATTCTCTTCTGTGCCATGGTTGTGTCCATAGCAGTTTAACAGAAGAGCATTCCAAACAGGTTACCAATTACATTTCAGACCTTGTTGGCTAAGCTGCTTTCTGGCACAGGAATCTTCCTCCCTTGAATGGTATTTTCTTGCCAGGAAAGGAGAGCATATTACACTCCACTGGATCAACTATAGAACCATACAGAGGAGGGACCCATTCATGGTCTTTTTTGTCTTCATGTCCAAATTTCTTTTAATTTGCTTATTATTTTTCCTCACAGCAGTAGGACTTCTTACACAGAATAAAGATCAAAGCATGTTTTTTGTACCATGCCTTGTGCCTAACCAAAGCCAGATAATGAGATGTATTACTTGTGTTTTTGGTGAAGTTCCTTGGCTGGGGCCGAAAGACAGGTGAGTTTATTTTAGAAGAATACAGTACTTGAATCACAGGTGCTAGTGAACAAGAAAACAAATAGGCAAAGAAGTGTTCAGACTTCAAAGGGAGACATATTGAATAGAAAATGAACAAATCACAACTGATCAGATTTTTGTTCTTATAAAAAATTTGTTTTGCAGTCTCATTAATTTTTTTTAAAATAGCATTTTATGACATAAGTGCATAGCCTAAAATCTGAGTCCAAAATCCTACCTTACTGTCCATAGGATCATCAGGACTGCTGGATGCTGTACTAAAGCACACACATGTGTGGGATTTCTGATATTTATTACTATTCCCAAGGCTTCATTTTTTGAACTGCCACAAAGGTCAAATCAAAGCAAAAAACATTGTCTGTGACCATGGTGAGGACACCACAAAATCAATGGTCACAAGTAGTACAGAAAAGATTATATCAATTCTATGCTACTGGAAAACTGCTGCTGGTAGCTCAGAAATACATGTTTTACTTCCTCTTGTAAAAATGTTCTGGAAATACATAATTATAATGAATTAATATTTATCCAGCATCACACATTGACAAAGTCAGAGAAGAAGCAAATGAAACAATCGGTGTTTCCTAAGTTCTCACTATTTAAGGAAATTGAGGTAAATGGTAGTAAAAGAGAAAGTTAAAAACAATCAAAATGAGGAGCTGAGAGTCTGAGCCAGTGAAAGAACACCAGGAGTCATCATTTGGCTGGAATTCTGGCTGTATCCCAGGCTTCTCTCCCAAGAAATGCAGATTCACTCTCCTTTTAAAGCACATTACCACCTAAGCAAAAATAGCCTCTCATCTCTGCTAGTCACAGTTGTAAATTTGACATGCTTGCTTTGCTGGCAGATGCACACCACACTTAACGTTTAACCAAGTGCAATCATGTTGGGCCATAAGATGTTTTTGTAAATAAGCACCTGTCCCCTGAAGAATGGTTATTTTAGTGTTATAAGGGACTTCACATTTTGTTTCTAACACTGGTACACCCAATGTAAACAGCCTTCCCCAAGGAGGAAAGGGGAAAGGAAGAATACAGAAAGCACTGTATGTAAACCTTGTTAGGATCACCCCAAGCCTGCCTTTTCTCCCAGAGGTGATGGGCTCAGCCCTGCACCCTCCCTGAGCGTGCTGCTTTTTTTCTCCTTTTAGGGTAGCAAACCCTGATCTGTAAAGTTCAGGGTGGCACAGGAGCCACAGCCAGTTCCAGGAATCTTCTCCCTGGGTCAGCTCAATGTTGCTTTCATCAGAAGTGTCACTGCAACGGGAAGAACTTGTTATAACGAGTTTCAGGAGGCATTGACATAATCAGGTCAGCTGGAGGTGCATAAACAAGGGAGAAGGGAACAAAACCCATTGAGAAATGTATGTCTTTCTATCCTGTTCCTAGGAGACATGAAGTAAAAAGCCTTTGCTCTCACCTGCTGGTGTGGCATCCTTGCTTCTCCCTTTTCTCTGTAAGGCTGTAAGGCATTTTCATCGCTGCAGCCTGACAATCCAAGGACATTTTCATCCATTGCTTGGATCTTAGGAAAATCTTCCCTTTCTTCTTCTTGTTATCGTGGCAGGCACATTTTTTTAATAGTCTGCTTAATGGTTATATACCCCCCACTGCTGGGATATCCATCAGTGAGACAGAGAGAGGACAGGGTTTCTCCAGAGGCTGCAAGGCCGCTGGGGAGGTAAGAAGAGGGAATTTAAGGGAATATTGTATGTTACAGGAACATCTAGAAAGCTTGTGTCTCTGATGATGAAAACATTTCTGGGCTTTTGTATTTTTCTCCTCTTGTGAGCCAGTTGACAGTTATTCATGACAACCATGACCTGAAGAGAGCCAGAAAAAAATACCATGTTATGTAATTTGCATCTGGAGATGGCACATGCTAATGCGAACTTGGTTGATTATAGAACAGTCTGCTATTACAAATGAGGCTGAAAAAATACTTTTTCAGTCAAAAAAATAGTCTAAACACAATAGATATCAGAAGCAGGGCCTGCAGCCTGGGCTGGAAGATGAGCCACTCTGTATTCATGGGGCATTTAAAGTAAAATACCTGCTAACATGCATATATATATATATATATATATATATATATATATATATGTATGTAAGGTAAGTGATTTAATGAAGAAGAAAGATTCTGTTCCTTATGCTGCCACCCTTTCTGAGCAAATAACTTTTCCTCCAGAGGGAAAGAGTTGGGAAAATATAAAAAGGAGTGTTCATCAGTCCCATCTCCTTTAAAAATCCAAATTAACAAACAAAGGAAGAGGCTTGTTGTAAAAGGGAAATGGGAAACACAGTTTGCTCATGAGAAAGCTGGATTTTTGTGACCTGCTACAGCACCTGTGAGAGCTTCTGGTCTCTAGGGACCAGTTTTAGGCAGGCCTCTTGGGGAAAGCTTGAGATGCTCTAAAGAGAAGATGCAGTTGGCAGTCTGGATACTGTGACCTTCTCTTTACAGCTGGAGACTGCCTTTGACAGTAGTGGGTGAGGATCTGCAGGGGTTTTGGATAAGACTGATGTCCTTGTAAGTACAGTCTCCTGCTTCTGGCAAGAGAGTGGCAGTGTATCACTCTCTGTGTTTGGATTATTACCATGCTTTCTACCTACTTCACTTCACTTGCAATTTTGGATAAGTAGAGTCATCATGCTCATTTTATGCCCCAAGGTTTTATCTGGTACAGCTGTGTAGTGTTAACAGCTGCTGGTTTTTGTTACAGAAGTGGATGCATTTTTAGGAATAGGCAGT